GGGGGGGGGGGGGGGTGGATGGTTGAGTGAGGTTGTGAGAGAATTCCACGCGCTCGATAGGTAGACAGCCGACCAGGAGAAGAATTTTGGCTGATCGACCCTCTTACACGTAACTAGCGCCCGTATCATGAGGGCCAAACCAGGCAACAAGAGAGGGCACCGAGGTAGTCGAGCAGCTTGCCGACACATGCCTTGCAGAGAGTTCTCGTGAGAAAAAACCATAAGTCAAGTGAAACGTCCAAGTGAAATGTCCAAAATGTTTATACATTGAGCAAGTGAAAGATGTGATCGAAAATAGACATATTAATCGAGTGAAAAATGTGATCGAAATCAATACAATATTCAAGTAAAAAACAAGACGCCGTTCGGGTTACCTGGCCGTTGCTCGCACCCATGCCGTTGCTGTTGCCGCCGCCGCCGCCACCTCCCCGGTCGGCCGGCCGCCGCCGCCGCTGCTGCTGCTGCTGCTGCTGCACCGAGTGCTTGGCGACGAAGTCATCGACGCTGGCCACGTACCGCCCAAGAGTCTTGTCGAACTCCAAGTCCAGGTCCTTGTTTTCCTGGTGCAGGTTCCGGACGATCGCGTGCTTGTCCTGCACTTCCGCGATGCCTGAGTTTTTTCGGACGATTGATTGCAAACAAAAACATTCCGGGTTAGTATACCGTTGCCGTCATCAATACCACAACAACAACAACAACAACAACAACAACAACAACAACAACAACAAAGAGTCCATGCGACCGATGTGTAACTCACAGTCCGCCATCGGGTTCATGAGCGCCGCCCCGAGATCGAACTCCGACTCCTGACACCGGTAGCGCTGGATGTAGGCCGACATGGCCGAAAATGCCTGGGTTAGCCGCTTGCGAGCGTCCTCCTGCCGACGCCGCATCGCCGTCACCTAGACGAGAGGAAAAAAAAAAAAAAAAGGCATCGCGCTCAGATTGGTCAATTCTGCTTGGGGGAGTGGAAAAGAGGCGGCGCAATGACTCATGACCAAAAAGGCATCGCGCTCAGATTGGTCAATTTTGCTTGGGGTGGTGGAAAAGAGGCGGGGCAATGACTCATGACAAATTGTGAACGGACAGAGTTGTGAAATGCAGCAGCGTTGTGGCACCCTGAGAGCGCGTTGAGAAGCAGTATGCGGCGAAGTTGTGATCCTGTGGCATTTGCAGCGGGGAATGGGATCGTCGCCAAAAATTCTGCTGTGTCGTCTCTTGCCATCGCTAACATATCGAAACGCCAACCGATCCAAAATAGCCGGGTTTAACGGCGCCATGAGAACAGTGCCTTGTTGGACGGAATACCTCGTCTTAGGCAGAGGGTGGGGGGAGACTTCAAACCAGTACAACGAGCCGCGCGCAATAACAAAAAAGAAGAAGATACGTGACAACAAGGTTGCCACAAAGAAGTGACAAAAATGAAACAAGAAGAAAATTCCTACGGAAAATTCCAGGAAGACAATGTTGGTAACCAACTACCGTGGTCGCACCTTCTCCCCGGCGGCCTGGAACTCCTCTATCGCCGCCAGCCTCGTCACCAGCTCTGGCACCTCGCGCTCCTGCGCCGCCTTCACGCTAGCTATCAGCTGCTCGATGCGCTGTTTTTTCGCCAAAGGGGGGGGGGGGGGGGGGGGGGGGGAACCCCCCCAACCCCGGGGGGGGGGGGGGGGGGGGGGCTTAGCCAAATTTTTTTAATCAAAAACCCCCCAAAATTTTTTTT